GAATTAATTGAAAAAAAGCAGTCAACTACCTTTGGCCAACGATTAGCTGAAATAGAATGAGCTCTATTCACTCTTAATGCGTTTGAAATTCAAAATCCACATTCGAACTCTACACCATACTATTTGAATTTATTAGTTGTTTGCTCCGGTTATGGCATTTCTAAATTGACCGGGTGAAATTAATGATAGAGTGTACCCCGTTTCGGAATCTATTTTCAAAAACTAACTTCGAATGGCTTCCGCGTTTGCATATTGTTATCAGCTGACTATTTGTTTGTAAGAACTAAGCTGAACCGAACTGACTATTTGGCTCTATACCTCCATCTAGATGCGCCTGGGTGTGGTATGCTTTGGTCCAGCTCTAAGCTTTACATTATCATTCAGAGTTTCTGGGCCTTTTAAGTACACATTATAGACCGGAATCACATGGGTTGTAGGCGCCAAATGAGCACTCTATCATTTTCGTCAATACACCAATATGCGATGCCAGTTGGTAAAGAGAGGGGTCACTTTCTACACAGTAACAGTTTTATTATTGACCATTTCCTTTCTAGGTCGCTTTACGAGATGCCGAGATCGAACGTCTACGAGCACTTTCCGAAGTTGGTCGTCCGTTGGAAGCCCTAGTTCAAGATCGCACAGATCGTCAATCGGATCGGCTCATTCAACAGCTACAAATGCAAGTAGATTTACTTCAATCCCGGAACGAGGAGTTAGAGGCTCGAATGGTCGAGTTGATGAACCACGAGGCCAGTAAAATTGTCACTTCCACAGTTGCCGAATTAGAGCGTCCCACAAAAGCAGTACAGACACTGTCTTGGACAACAAACGAACAAGTTAACGCTTCTTGTCAAACGGAGACTCTGGATGTACCTCGTCAACAAACAGAGGAAACCACTATGGAACCGGTAAGTTTTACCGCACACACACTCGGGGTCGCATTGATCACAGCAGTGTCTTCCATTTGGATCCGAATACTCGTGCCATTTTGTTTACATGCTGTATTCAATGGTTATCTCGTTTGGTTATGCACTTCTTATTCGTTTGCAAATTTCACGTACAGTCACTTTGTTTGTACTGTGTTTTCACTCCCAATGCGTTCTCCCGTCCGTGACTTTTGTCACATATGCCTTTTGATCTCAAGGTTTACTCCTTTTATTGTATTCCACAATTATCATGTAGTCAAGAAAGGAAAGCTATATCATGATGTTTCAAGAAAAATACCTCATCGGTAACGAGAGAATGATGAAAAAACCCAGATTCGACCCAATGTGTAAAATACCTTTTACGAATAAACCGTTTTTATACCGTTTCTGAATGAAACACCATCAGGACTTGATAATCCGTAATCGGTCATCATTTTCTTTGGTTATTCAATTCTAAGCTGTGAATGAATGGACTTCAAATCAAGAATCTGAGTTTCACTAATATAGCAAGTTAAAAGAGGTTGAATCTTCTTCTATTAACAATCCTAAGTGAATCGGTGATCGAAATCTGTGCTCATGGATTCCGCCAATACCTCGACTCGATGGGAAAATATGATGATGAAAGTAACTGTGTATGATTGTTATTTATTGGTGTTTCATGAGCACACTGTGATTAACAGTTGAAAGCGTGAAGCCTAGAGGCACATAAATTAACTGTTTATGTTTCATGGGAACTAGCACCCAGAGTTCTGCAGCTCATAGTGGTAAACTGCATAAGTCGTCAGCAGAATAGATGTAGAATTGAGTTTGCCGATAGCGGAACTGCCACTGGTATAACTATGTTCGGCAATAAGTATCCACTCTGTGCATTCAGGACAGAATCGAGAGTGGTCTAACACCGTCGAAGACAATTCAATGTATCAAGTAGGCTCATTTTGTATTTGTCATACTCACGTCGGTGCAGAGTATCAAATTTAATTCGAAATATCAGAGGGAGAGGGAAGGATTAATGCCCTTAGGTTCCGATCACATCTGTGTGTTTGTGTATGTACGCGTTCGTGATATCTGTGAGTGTCAAATAGAGTAGCTGTAGATGAATTCTGTAATACCAGGTGATATATGGGAGTTCAAACGCTCGCACAAGTTGCTTTCACTCATACCCGAGAGGGTTGTTGTGGGAACGACAGTTTACGCGTTCATTTCAGGTCCGACCGTACCATACGATTGTCTTAATTGCTCCTGTCGGATGATATTCATGAATGTGATCAAGCAAACACCTCGTCGTGAGTTGATTGTACCGAGTCCAAAAAGAACAGCCAAATGGGTGCGTGCGGAAATACTGCAGGATTTGACAGTCCCTCATTCAGAGCAAAGCTTCCTTTACTTATCCACGTATAGCATATTGCATATGATTGCAGTAGCAATCGCAGAAGTCATTCTCTTATTAGTTCATACAAATTCACAAGTTATTGAATGAAGTCATTTTGGGGGAAAACATCGCTTTGAAATTTTGTTTTATGCCTTATATCCCTCTGATATCGTTTTTGTCAGGTTTACATTGAACAAATACGGGCCGCTCTGCGTGAGATCGAGGATGGTCGTGGATATTTGATGAAACGTATTGATGTACTAACGGCACGGGGTAAGTGTTTGATTTTCATTCACCGGTTTCGCAAATGAAATTATAAACCTATTTTCACCACCACTAGACCGATTCAATCACATTCTTTCCAATTGAATACAGAACGTGAACTGATCAAAGAGCTTTCTACAAAGGTTAGTGTATCAAAACCGACTCGCCGCGGAGACAAAGCATCTCCAATCAAAACTGTGCTTGATCAGGCGGTGGAAAAACGATTGCAAGGATTGGAAGCCGATCGTCAACGATGGCGTTTCGAAGCCAGAAAGGCTCTAAATGCTCTGCACCAATTGATTCGCTATTCCAAATTGGAATTTCTTCCAGAGAATTTCGAAAACCACTGTTCAGTTGGACTTCATTATCATGGTTCTTGTGATGCACCGTGCATCAGCGTAAAGGACCATCGAGGCTTGGTCTCACAGAAAAGGTCGATCACTCCACCCGCGAGGCATATAGCACATCTTGACCGCCGAAATCGATCTGTATCGGTTGATTTACCTTCTTTCCAAAGCGAGGTAAGCTGCAATCTTGGTTTATGCACCTTTTTCCAAGCTGTCGGCACGAATTTGTTCTGATTGGAAATCATCTCAAGCTTTTGAAATTACGATTTAATGTTCTACTACTGATGAGTAGGCATTAAATAATTCAGATACGAAATTATATACAAAGTTACACGAACCCAATACGGTCTGTGAGAGGCAATCTCATTTTTTTTCGAGGGTTACAATGTAGCATTCTCACTTCAAGTAGAACCACCGACTGGGTCTAACGGGAAATTCAGTTATCTAATTAGCAATATTTAGTTGTCTGCTCTTGTGTTTACCGTCGATCTCACAAAAGCCATATGGGTAAGAATAAATAAACGGAGTGTAGTCACTTCGCGTCCACTCTCTGCCACTCAGGAATAATGCCATTACCAGAATTAGATAGGTTATCAGTCCTCTTGAGACTATAACTTACGCTTTCACTGTTTATTCAAATATTCAACACAGAGCTTCCTTTTATTATCCTATTATTTCTGTATTTCTCGGGGTCCACGTTACTCTCTACGTATTTTGTAGGTTAATGCTCTGCGACTGAAACATTCTGTTCATGTAAGCTGTCTTGTCACGCTGCTTTTTTCGTTACTCTATTCTGTTTTGCCGTTTGTCCCTGGAAGAGAGTAGAAAGATGCACTATCTATTTTTACTTGTTAAATTGCCATTGTATTGCAGACACTTTGCACCCAGCTACGTAACGTGCAGGAGGAACGGGATCACTATCGACACTTATGGGAGGAAGCCAAATACTCACTTCAACGTCAGCGGCCGTGTAAAATCCGTCCGATTGGGTGTCCGCGTCCACAGAAATGTCAGGTATTTTTTCACTGAGAATGCACAAGTTCAACCATTTCGTGTTTCGTTCATGTTGACATATATCTTGTAGGTTTTGTTAGAAAGAGTTTAGGATGGAATCTGTCGGTTTGCTTTGCAGGACCTTATGTCTGTATTGCGTATTTTGTGAATTACAATTACGAATTTCGGACACGCTGGTTCCCCGTTGGTCCATGCGACTGAACATAATAACGCAGTTGAATAATATATGTTCATCACTCGTTCGAGTAATGATGCTGCACAAAGTGAGCTGTTCTGTATTGGGAGTAATGGATATTTTCACATTTTTCCCGATTCTCATCTATCCTCACCACATGTAGAAAAAGGAACATTTCTTAAGACGAGAGCTCACACGAAATGTGCGTCAAAAAATAGTCCCCGAACAAAT